GCGGTATCGGGAGAGCTGGCAATATTTGGTTTGCTGAACTTTCAGGGACTTGCTCAATCCATCTTTCCACAGACCACACCCCTCCCTATTTTCTCTCTGGCCTGTGTTCCCCACATATGTTGTCTCTGGGCCCCTGGGGTTTGCAATCCCCACTGACTCAAAAAAGCATACTTCACCCATGTCCTTTCTCTGCCACATCCCTGGTGGGAGGGTGAGCATGGCCTCCCACCCAGGCAGCGTGGCCCCCACATCTCCCTTCCCTGCCCACCACCTAGTCAGATGAGGAAACCGAGGCTCGGTCGGTGAAGGTGCTCCAGCTAATCATCAAGGGGCCCGGTCGGCCCAATGATGCCCGAGTCCAAATTCCCCTGTTGCTTTCCTCTTCTCCAGCCCGCTTGGCAGCCCTCACCCCACACCCCACACCAAGGCCTGGGCCTCGGTGCTCTGGACCAAGAGCTCTGCTCCAAGCACAGCCCGGACGCTCTCTTTCCCCTCCAAATCCAGAGTCCCCCTGGACTGGCTGCAGCCGGGTTGAAAGCTGGCCCTCCCCTGGGCTCTCCTGAGTGTGGGAAGAGAAAACAGCTCCCACCTATTTCCTACCTTCCGGGAACGGGGCAAACCCCTCTTCTCTCTGTACCCAGAGAGAGCAGGACCGGCAAGGCTGGGAGGGGAGGTGGGCCGGGACAGAGGCTCCTCCGCGCCACCCGCCACTCCACTCCCACCCCCATGGGGCTGCCCAGCCCTGTCTGCCTCCTCCCTCACCCTTTATTCTGTACCAGCTCCTCATTCCCAGGCCTGGCTTCCTCAGTTTTTCTGCCCCCAAACCATGTCTCTGCCCTCTCCCAAACCTCATCGACAACCCCTTGAAGCTGGAAATGGCTGACATTCGTGACAGAGTGGGAGGAGCCATGGTGTTTGGATCTGGGAGAGGGAAGAGGAGGGACTTGAGCTTGGGCACGCTGGACAGCCTGGATCCCGGCTGTCTGGTGCTTAGCTAGCTGTATGGTTTCCTCATCTGAACACATGAGACAGCGTGGAGCGCTGTCCCTGGGGGGAAACCCTGTGCTGGCATCAGGTCTGGCTTGCTCAAGGCTGCAACCTCAGCTGTGGGGCCCGGGGGTTCACTAACCACTGGAGAATTGAATGTCTACAGCTCAAAAGAGAAAACGCACATGAAGCCCTCCGCTCAGGGCTCACAGGAAATGAGCTTGGAGCAGAGGCTCCGTGAAGCCCAGCCATGCGCCTCGGCAGGCTCTGGGGGACGCTTCGTGTGACTCCAGGCCGTGAGAGTCCGAGGGAAGCCCAGAACAGGCTTAATCTGAAATCCCAGACTCCGAGAGCCCTGGGGGGGCCCCCAGACAGCTACTCACCCCGGGGGAGGCCCTGGGTGGCCTCTCATCAAGGGCATCCCTTGGGCGGGCCTGTGTCCACCGGTGCCCTGCCCCATCTGCCCCTCTGGCCCAGCTGGGTCTTCCCGCCTGGAATTTAAAAGGAGGAACTCGCTGGGCCTCCCCTGGTGGCACAGCGGTTGAGCGCTGGGCTGCGAAAGCTACCTGCAGCCTCTGCAGCGCCGGTTCGATCCCCGGCCACCGGCGAGGGTCCCACATGGCGCGCAGACCTCTCCTGCCACCCGCTGCTCCCCTCAGCAGTGTCCTTCGGTCCTTCTGCCTGCTCTGCTCCCCGCTCTGGCTCTGGTGAATTCTCTCACTCTCCCGCGCTTCTGACTGTACCCAACGCTTATATAAATAAATAAAGAAATCTTAAAAAAAAAAACCAAAAAACAGTTTGCACTCCCACCAGCAGTGCAGGAGAGTTCCTTTTAAAAAAAATAAAAAATAAAAAAAATAAAAGGAGGAACTCGCAGCCCTTCGCAGAGGCATCTACCCAGGCCTAATGAATCCGTGAGGCAAGCAGCCGCGCCTGCCTGCCAGCCGCCTGAGGAGTACTTACTTCGTCTGTGAATTGATTGCCGCACTTTCGCCACCACACAGCTCACGCCGCCGCCGCAGAGGTTGGGAGCCAAGGGGAGCTGGTTGCTGCTGGGCCGGGGCCTCCCTGCCACCTGGCCCAGGAGGTTTGGGGTCCAGGTGGCGCCTATGCTCGTGTTACAGATGGGAAACTGAGGTCCAGAGAAGGGTGTGGGGGCTGGAACACACCCAGCCCCAGGCCCTCCAGCCCCTGCACAAGCTCTTTGTTTGAAAGGGCTAAAGAATGAGGCGCCTGTGGGCCCCGGCCTGCCCGTCCCTGAGTAGGCGCTGCCCCACCTCCGCATCTCAGTCCCTCCTAGGAGAGAGCCGACCCCCAGCCCCCCAGGGTTTAGGGGTACTATGCATCCTGACTGTCACCTCCCAGCCTGGGCATGCAGCCTCCACCCCCCAGATATGGGGCTGCCCCTGAGCCATCTGATGGATGAAGGTGGGACACTGACCGGGCTCCCAACCAGGCCAGAAAGTAGGTGCAACCCCCAGAAGGCATGGGGACCTGGTTCCCACCCCAGAGCTGCTGTGGTGGGCGGGATGGAGGGTGGAGGGAGCGTCCTCTACCAACCAGACTGTTGCATCCTGAGGGCAGAGGCCCAGAGATGACCTGCGGCCCAAACCTGGACACAAAATAGCGCCCAGAGAGTCGATCCTTGACCCCCAACTTCCACAACAGTGGTCATCTGTCAGGTGGGTTCCAGAACATTCTGATCATAAATGTCCTGCCCTGAGTGGGAGAGGGCTAGAAACCACGGGTTCAGAATCGTTGACCCTCGCGCCCATCCGCTGGCCTTGAGCTTGACCCCACCTCTGAACGTCTGTCCCGGGGTGCACACGCGGTGGGGGCGTGCAACACAAACAGGCCAAAAGCCAGAGTCCCGTCTGAGCCCAGCGGCCGGCGCAGCCGTTTTCCCCGCATCGGGAAGATTTCCTGCGCCCGCACCGACCTCGCCCTGCGTCTGCTCAAGGTGCAGAAGTCACATGCAGACACGCCACGCCGTGAGGCAGCACCAATTCTTCTCCCCAGTGGCCGGAGCTGGGCGCTTTGGAGATGCCCACAGTCGGTGGCACAACCTGGGGTCCTGGCACTGCCCCTGCCCCTGGGATCTGCCATGCTCTTGGCCCTGACTGTGCCCCTATGCCTTCGGGCTCAGCTCCGTCCCCCCTCAGCCTGCCCAGGTCTCTGACTCTGTTACTCGGACTATTTGATGCCACACTTTAAAAGCACATCTCATGTGCCAGGCGCCTGGTAGCTCTAAGTGCTTCATCCCCTTGAACTTGAACTCTCACCACACTCCAATGAGAGGCACGATTGTTATCACCCCTTCTTCAGAGGGGGACACTGAGGCACAGCCTCACGGCTCGTGGATGGCAGAGTCGGGAAATCGGACCCCGGCTCCAGACGCCATCCTCCCAACACACCAGTGAGTCTCAAGCCTGAGTGGGCCCCACAGCCCCCCAGGGCTTGCCAAACAAGGGCCCAGTAGGTCTGCCGTGGTGCCTGAGAACATGCATTTCTAGCCAGCTTCCAAAGGACGCTCTCCCTGGAGGCCCAGGCCAGCACGGGAGCGTCCTCGCGGCCACACCTGCGTCGTCCAGGACAAGCAGCCCTTGCAACTCTGCCGAGAGAAGTTTGGCCCTTGACTGGCTCCTGGGAGGTCACTTCTGAGCCCTTGCAATGTCCCACCTGGTAAGAGTCTGTTCACCTGGGCATCTTGGCACACCAGGCAGTTTATGTGAAAGATGTGCCTCACGGCGGGGATTCGGATCACACTGTCTCAACTCAAGCCCTGGGTCAAGGGATTGGAGGCCAAGGCCAACCACCTGGGCAGTCAGCCATCCCATGTGATCAACTCCGACAAACCCTGGACCCACGTTTGTGCAAGTCCCGGCTGGGCACACTCTGCCTTGTGGAACCTCAGGTCACTGGGGAAGTGGGCACCGTGTGCCCTGCTGGGCCAGAGGGCAGGCGCTCCCCAGGCCCCGAGCCTGCTCGCTTCTCTGTTGCCGATTCTAATCTGTAACTTTCATTGCAATAGACCAAGCACAAGTACAACAGCTTTGCTATGTTCTGTGAGTCTCTCCAGCAAATCTTTGAACCTAGGGGCGTTCTTGGGGACCCCCAGATATAGTGGTCACTTCCTGAGCACCTCCTGAGCACCCAGATGTTGCCCAGGTTCTGTCCACGCTGCTCCACTCCCCACTCCAGACCTCCCAGCACGTGGTCAGAAGCAGCCCAGGCCCCAGAGGACGCCGACCACTCACCATTCCTCCTCTGCATGGAGGACACCCGGGCATTGTGCCTGAGCAGCCCCAGCTGTCACCTGCAGCACCTTTGTGTAACTTCAGGCGATGTGCTGGGTAGCGGGCGGCATCTCAGGTATCACCCCAGGAACCAGGTAACAACCCGTGTCCAATGTCCACATGCCGGGTATTATCCTGGGAACCAAGCCATGCTGTGGGCATCAGGTAACACCCCAGATGTCAGACAGCACCCTGGGAACCAGGTAACATCCCGAGTAGTGACAGTTCAAGGAACCAGCTAACATATCAGGTAACACACTGAGAACCATGTCACAGCCCACGCGCCAGGATCCTCCCAGGAGCCAGAGAACGTCCTGGAACATCCCGAGATCTAGACAACATCTTGGGTACCAAGTAACACCTCAGGTATCACCCCAGGAACCAGGTAATATGCTGGACACCAGGTGATGTCCTATATCACCCCATGACATCTGCATCAACCTGTATCACTCCAGGAGCCAGGTGACACCTGGGATACCAAGTAACACCTCAGGTATCATCCCAGGAACCAGGTGACATTCTCGGTGCTGAGTAACAGCCTGTGACATCCCATATTGGCCCAGGAGCAGTTATCATCCTGGTTACCAGGTAACAGTCAGGATCCGGATAGCACCCTGGGTACCAGGTGACACCCAGGATCCAGGTAACACGGTCACCAGGTGACATCTCACACGCCACTCCAGGAACCAGGTGGCCTCTGGTGCCCGGCGGCCTTACCTGCCGATGACCTCGATGTTGGAGATGGCGTAGAAGTACTTGTAGAGGTTCTCCCGCTGCACGTAGGTGCCGCCCAGCGCCGGGCGCAGCAGCCGCATGCGCAGGTCGGTGAGGGTGAAGAACTCCTTGAGGCCCTTGGCGCTCTCCAGCCGCGTGTAGAGGTTGTCCATGTTGCGCATGTCGGGGCCAGCGAAGATGGCGAAGCGGTCGCGCACCTCGAAGCGCACGTGCTTCTCCTTCTTGGAGCCCGCCCAGCGCGAGTACTCCTCGGTGCACAGCACCCGGTGGGCGCCCGACGACGACAGGTCGCGGGCGCGGCGGGCGGGCATGCCGAAGGCCTCCACGCAGTCCTCGGCGTAGAACTGGTAGGGCTGCCACGTGCGCCCGTTGTCCAGGGACTTCTCCAGGACCATGGCGGTGGGCCGGCCGTACTCGAAGGTCACCACCACGTCGTCCGTCAGCTCCACGCTCTTGTTCCATGACAGGGTGATGTTGGCCTCCAGGGGGCTGGGGTAGCGGCTCCACGTGACGCTCTGCCAGTAGGTGACCAGCCCCTCGTCCTCCTTGTCGAACATGAGTCTGGGCGGGTGGGCCAGGTCGGGGTTGGAGGCGTCACACTCGTTGCTGCACAAGTAGGGGTTCTCCTGCGGGGGGAGAAGAGGAGCCAGGTGGGTGTGGCCGCCGGGGGGTGGGGAACCCTGAGCGCTGGCCCGGGCAGGCTCCCTGCCCGGGGTGCGGAGCCTGAGCGCCAATGTCCGGGCACCGGGAGGTGTCTCCGGCAGGTCATCGGCGCCCATGTCCCCAAAGCACAGAAGCCATTCCACTCGACGGCCGCCCGAGCAAACGCACACCTCCTCCTACTTGAAATACACACACTCGAGGACAGCCGCTGCGCCCCGCTCCCGGGCCCCCCAGCGCCCCGCTCCCGGGCCCCCCAGCGCCCCGCCGGTGGAGGATGAAGGCCTAAGTCTCTAACACATTGGCTCCGAGCCGTCTCCAGGGTCTTGACCCACCCGAGCCCAGCCGTTTGCGGATGCCAGTCCCCTCCCCCCATGGGCCCTTCCACTCAGTCTCAAAAACTCCTACTCACATCCTGGCTCGAGACGGCTGCTCTGCGACACCTCCCCGGCCCCCTGAACAATGTCAGCTGAAGCAGAGGCGCGGAAGTCGGTGTCGGCAAGTACCTGCGGGCCCCCCGGCGCCGTGCGCACCTGGCAGACCTCGTCATCGAGTTTCTCGGGATTCTCTCTGGATGGAGAGTCCGGGGCTTGCAAGGGCGGCAACCCTTGCCCAAGGCCTCCACTAGGGAGAGCCGGGAGCACCCCCACACCTGTCCAGTGCAGATGTCACAGTGACACCTCCAACACCTGCGCCCGCCTCACCCCTGGGCACACTGGAGGGGTGCTGGGGCCGCTCCCTCACAAAAGGAGGCGCGTCTTTGTGCCAAGTCTTTCCGGGGACTTGGTGCCTGCCTCAGGCCCAGGATTGAACACTGAGGAACTGGGGGCACACTGCCCCTTGCCGACTCCTCCCACTCTCCCCTGCACTGCTCCAGGGGCCAGGGGGCTGACGGCCCCCCTCCAGGGCAGTTCAAGCTGCTCCCTGTGTCTAGTCCCCAGTGCGCGCGCCCCTTAGGGGCCTGGCGTCATCACTGCCAGAGTGGCTCCCGGGCTCAGAGGCTGGAGGTAGGGGGCAGGGGGAGGGGTCAGGGCTGCGCACCCGCTCTGCGCGATGCTGTGCGGGTGGGGACGAGACATGTGTCAAGCCCCACAGAAGGCACGCCACCAGGGGCGAACCCTGACGTCCCCCGCGGACTTGAGTTAATAACAAGCCACCAAGCGGGGACAGACGCGCCGGAGCCGGGCGGAGTATTCACCACGGGGAACCCCGCCGCGTGCAGCAAAGGGTGGCGACCGGGGACTCTCTATTCTGTCAATTCCCTGTAAACCTAAAACTGCCCTGAAGAGCGAGGTCTGCTAATTAAAACACAAGAAGCAAAAACCAAAGCAGACCACCTGCCCCGGAGAACCACACGGCGCCCGACTCCTCGCAGCCCTTGGTGGCGAGCACTTCAGGCCTCCGGCCCTCAGAGATAACGGAAGAGCTGGATCGGAGCTAAAGTCTCTCTAAATGAGCCATTCCACTCCCACGGGGCGAGGGCACCTCCCGAGGGCTGAGCCGGCACCCCCGACCCCGCACTCCCACCAACCCCCAGGCCACCCTAGGGACGCAGGCCATCAGCTTTGATGTCCTTCGGTGGAAGACAGTCCCCAGGCTGCCCGGGCCTCCCCGTGGGCAGCTGGCCCTGGAGTTTATGGAGGCAGGTTCCACAAAGCAATCCTTGCCCAAAATAGCTCTGTCCTCTGTCCCCTGTGGTGCCGTCAGCCACCCCGCCTGGCTCAGCCCTGCTGATTCTTGGGACCCACAAACCCAGGGGGAAGGAATACACCATTGAGTCCAGCCCCTCATTGAGGGGGGCAGTTTTGAGGCCAGGGAGAGGCAGGACTGACCCCGCCCTTCTTGAGAGTGGGTGGCATTCCTGTCCTGGACAACCTCAGGTGTGCAGAAACGCTGCTGACCTCACGTGCAACACAGCAGGAAGAGGGGCTGGTTCTGGCTCCAGGGGTCCAAGCCTCCTCTCACCCCAGCTGGGTGACCCTGTGTGTCTTCTGAATGGGAAGGGGCTGAGGGGTCCCCTGGAGATGACTTGATGGTCTCTAGAGACCAGTCTTGGTGACAGAGGGGTAGGCCCCTCCCCAGACACCTCGCCGGGAAGGACTCTTGGAACCTGGGGGCAGAATGGATTCTGCTCTTGCTATGGGTGGGGGAGGGTGGGGTGGGCTGGTGCCCCGGAGTCACACCTGCACATCAGAGGTAGGAAGGAAGATGTGCTTTGTACTGGGGGTGTTCCTCCCAGCCCTCCCCAAAGCAATCACCCTCTTCCCAAATCCCCTGTGCCCCCTCTATTGCTCCTGGTGCCTCGTTAGGGGCTAAATTATGTCTCCTCAAACTTCGCATGTTGAAGTCCTGGTTCCAGCATCTCAAAATGTGCTGTATTGGGAGATGGAGACCCTAGAAGGTGATTAAGTTAAAATGATCCCGAATTCAATCTGACTGGTGTCCTCACAAGAAGAGGACCATGTGAAGAGGCAGGAAAGGGTGACCGAGGACAGAGGCCTCAGAAGCCAGCCTGGCTCAGCCTTCAAAGAGCAAACAAACCTTGACCTGGGACTTCAAGCCTCCGGAACCTGAGGAAATAAATTTCTGTTGTTTAAGCCACCAGATCCCAGCAAACGGATCCCTGCCTCAGCTCGGAGGGGCAGGACTGAACTCTGAGTTTTTGATGATGTGATGATTTCCCCAGAAGCTCTCTGGGGCCATCCTCTGTGAACCCAGCCCCGCAGCACGCTGACACCAGGTGACGGTATGCAGGCCTCCTTGTCCACCTGGGGAGCTCCTGTCAGCCCAGCACTGAAGGCCATGGCTTTTCCCTGGCTGCCTGGTCCTCTCTCCCTTCTGAGCTTATGCTCCTGCAGCCCCTCTCCCTCCTCTCAACTTCAGAGCCCTCCTCCCTGCACCTCCTCCAGGAAGCCCTCCTTGCATGACTCAATCTTTGACCCGAGTGCCCTTGTCATCTATCATGGGGTTGTTAGTGTGCGCATCTGGTGCAGGACAGAGAAGCCTCCATTTAGGACCTGGGCCTCAGTAACTGTTCATGGGATTGTAGTTATTACTGTCCTCATATTCATCAGTTATTAATATAATTATAGATTAATATGGATATATCGCCTATCGAGAGCTGATATTCCTATTAACTTCCCAACTGCTGTGCGAAACCCATCCCTCACCTTTCCCCCGTCCCTCTTAGTCCCCCCCAGCCTTCCCTTCCCTCACCCTGCCCGGCTTCCCGGAGGACCCCACTGGGGATCTCTCGCAGGCTGCAGGGGCACCCGGCCTGTCTGTCACCGGGAAGACTGACTCGGCTGGTTCTGCCAGAGGACAGGGGCTGCCAAGGCCGCGCTGCCCTAACCTGCAGGCCCGCTGGCCCACCGGCCGGGCCCGGGAAGCAGATGGTCAGGAACTAATGAATCAGCCTGTGTATTTACCATCCGCGCCGGCTGCAGAGCGGGCTTAATCAACAGCGAGCACAATAAATAAACCCCGAGCCATGGCTCTTCTCGACACCCCCTCACTCTCTCCCTCCTGGTCCTCTCCCTCCCCCCACCCTCCGATTCGAGATCCAAGATCTCAGAAGTCCGGTCAACCTTAGGGGCACGGCTGGGTGTCGGCTGGGTGTCGGGGCGCTGCATCGCTCGTCTTTCCCAAACACCATTTGCTCCTCTCTCACGCCGTCTGTTCTGCCCTGGGCTGGGGGGCGGCGAAGGGGGGGTTCCAAGGGGTGGGCCTGGGAAGAGGAGCTGGTTCTCCCGCAGCCCCAGCCCCCAGCCCGGCTGCACCTGACAGCTGAGTGCAGTGTGAGTGGGGGCGCGGGGCGGGGGTGGGGGGCCGGCGCCTGCCAGCCCTTCTCGCTCTGCACATTTCTCTACGAGATCAGATTAACTCACGATGACACGCACAGTGCAAACCAGTGGCCCAGCGCCAGGGAGAAACAGCTAGGGACTCTGGAGGTACATCTCGTCTTAGGGTGACCCCAAAGTCCACCTTTGCTATCATCAAAAACAGTGATTCACCCCCAAATCACACCCTTGATCAAAAGCCTTGGAACTTTCTCCAGAAAAACACAACAGAGCACATTTCACTCCTGAATTTGCCGGCAAATTCAGGGAATGTGTGGAGCCCCGTCCCCGTTAGGAACCCCTGTTCCAGAGACTGGGTCTGCAGTCTGGGACCCCAGCGCTAGTCCTCCGGGGTTGCGGCCACGAGAAAGTTGCTTTACATCCCCCAGCTTTTACTTTCTCATTCAATATCATGTGAAATAATGTGCATGAAACATCCAGAAAATGTCCCCAAACAGGCGGAATCACCATGAAACTGCAGCCCCGCACGCCACGGCTCCCTAGTGGCGAAGGGGAGACCCCAAAGTCAGCTCAGAGCCCTCGGGGACACCGTGTGCAGGAGCAGGGGGACCCCAACATTCACCGAGGGCCAGCAGGTGCTGCGCCAGGGTGGGCACTCACACCAGTCCCCACCGTGTCCCCACAGCCCCCCCGGGGAGGCAGAGGCTCCAGTCACCCCAGAGTCACGGGTGTTGGCCTGCCCTCGTTACGTGCCCTGGACTCTGAGGCATCCAGCCAAGGAAAGTTGGGGGAACCGACCCCCGTATCTGTGGCTCTCCTGTCGCTACAGTCACACAAAGGTTAGTCCGGGCAGGGGAGGCGGGCCTGCGGGGTGGGCCAGGGGCGCAGGGCGAGGGGCAGGCAGCCAGCCCTGGGACAGCGCCGCCAGCAGGGTGGGCGCGAGCTCTGGCAGCCGCCGAGTGAGAGCTGCCTGGCGAGGACTGTTCCATGGAGGAAACATTTCCTACCACGCTTTTCAAACCTCGCCACGGTCTTTTAAATGCTTTTGCTTTTATGTTATTTTCTGTACAAAGCGGGCAGTGGGAGTCAGAGGCCGGTTGTAAACGCTGTAGACAAGCTCCGGGCAAAACACATAATTGAGCGGGGCGGTCAGTGCTGGCGGGTCT